CCAGCGTAGATGCACACAGCTCTCTGCTCCTGGCGGTGTATTTGTCATAGTGAACATGTAACTCAGTACAACCCCTTACCGTACCAATCCGCTCAAATCCACTTGAATCCACTTGGCCGAACGGCCCAAATACGGGAAAGTACGTTACCGGAGGAAATCGGCGAAGCAAACCGTGTCTTGACACTTAAATCTTCCAAATCTTCAACATCGTCAAAGATTTTCGATTTTCGCTTCTCTCCCTCTCTTCTCTCTTGTTTATCTCGCATATTATAGAAATAGAGAAAGCTGTTTTTACTTTTTTCACTTTTCTGGGCCAGCGCATTTCTTTCCCCTTTGCAATTGAACCTTTAAAGACCCCTTCGTTTATTTTACTATATACTTCCTAATCTGTACTTTTCTCCGTTTTCTCCCCTTTCCACCTAGATTTCTTGCTAGCTCAACCGTCTGCCATTTCCCTGCTGCGAGAACGGCTGAAACCCAAACTCGACCCGCCGTGCCCCGCTAACTGTAAAGCCATGGTGCGACTAACTTCAAACCCCGCCGCCACTTCCTCCGCTTCCGCCGCACTGCGGTCATTGTCAACCCTCACCTTTGCATCCCGATCTGCGAAACCAACTGTTTTACTATCTTCCTCCGTTGCGAGATTACTCTCCCTCTCCACTGTTACTTCACTGAGGTCCAATGCGCGGAGGTCGATAAGTGGGTTGTCGTTATCAGCGCGGATTCACGGGCGATCCCACTGTTTGAATCGTGCTGCTGTTTACCAGGATATTTGTGAGACTCTGGGAACGAGAGGGTTTGCTACTACGAGTGCTATGATGGTGCGGTTTTCTTTTTCTTTCCTTTTCGTTTTTGACCCTGCTCCGGGAGGTGTTGGGGAGATATTGATCAGCTTTTTGGATCTGATTCTGACGGGGCTTTTCTTGCGTTGATATTTTAGGCTTCGAGAACGGAAACGGATGCCTTTGGCGAAATCCAGGTAGGGACACATTGCGTTTATTTTACTTGACGGGTATTTTGTGAAGTGTTCGTTCCTTACCTGGGGTTGTCTCTAGGTCCCTGCGGATAAGTACTGGGGAGCCCAAACACAACGGTATGCATTGCCAAAATCGCCACTGAAAACAAATCACAACTGGGAAAGATGATGTGGACTGTAGACTAACGCCGTTGGTGGGGAATTGTTTAGATCTCTGACCAACTTCGATATCAACCAACCGCAAGACCGTATACCGCCTGCCATCGTGCGGGCTTTCGGTATCCTCAAAGGTGCTGCTGCGACTGTGAATATGAGATATGGACTTGGTAAAATAACCCTTCCTCTTTTGGTCTACTAGCATCCAATGCGGATTGCGCCGGGCTTCCAACTAACATCTTTTCGATTTTTTTGTCCTTTGAAGATCCTACTATCGGCAAGGCTATCCAGCAGGCTGCTGCAGAAGTTGCATCGCTTAAGCTCATCGACCATTTCCCCCTCGTCGTCTGGCAAACAGGCTCTGGTACCCAGTCCAATATGAACGCCAATGAGGTCATTTCGAACCGCGCCATCGAGATCTTGGGCGGCACCATGGGCACCAAGAAACCGGTTCACCCCAACGACCATGTCAACATGTCCGCTTCATCCAACGACTCCTTCCCCACCGTTATGCACATTGCTGCTGTCCTCGAACTCGAGGAATCGTTGCTTCCATCCCTCACCAGCCTACGCAACGCCCTCCAGCGAAAAGTCGAGCAGTTCGAGAAGATTATCAAAATCGGACGAACTCACCTGCAGGACGCCACCCCTCTCACTCTGGGTCAGGAATTTTCCGGCTATGTGGCCCAGCTGGACAGGGGCATCGAGCGCGTCCAAAATATTCTCCCGCATCTCCGATATCTTGCACAAGGGGGTACTGCGGTTGGCACCGGTCTGAATACCTTCAAGGGCTTCGACAAGGCCATCGCGGAGGAAGTTACCAACATGACAGGGACCGAATTCAAGACTGCCCCCAACAAATTCGAAGTGCTCGCCGCTCATGACGCTGTAGTCGAGGCTTCTGGGGCGCTCAACACACTTTCCTGCTCCCTCTTCAAGATCGCCCAGGACATCCGTTTCCTGGGCTCCGGCCCCCGCTGTGGACTGGGTGAGCTCATGCTGCCCGAAAACGAGCCGGGCTCCTCAATCATGCCTGGAAAGGTCAATCCGACCCAATGC